TTCTCACCCCCTGAATTCAAAAAATATACGACAAAAACATTGGTGATTTTATTATTCTTCTCCCCTGCATTTATTTAACAAACTTAGATTTCCGATCTTGTAATTTTAATATAAAAAAATCATGATTCTTCTCCGCCAGATTAATTTACATTAACGGAAATATATGACTTTAATTTCTATGATGCATTAATGTGATTCTTTCTCTCTTTGGCCCTTTGCACTAATTAAAAATTGAATCTTTTTTCTTGTATTATTAAAAGTGTGAAAACATAAATTAACAATCCTATAATAAGAAATATAAATTTTACAATACATTAAAAATATAATGATTTTTCTCCCTCGTATTATTTCAAAAATTATGTGAATGCAAAAAAAATAGTGATTCTATGATTTTAATGAAATTTTACAAAAACTATTTCTTAATTTTTATTCATTTTTTTGATTTCTTTTTTAAATATTCAATCATTTAAGTGTGTGAAATTATTTTGGTCAATACATAATGTTTTATAAAATATAAAGAGTTACAATTTAAAAATTATATTTCTTTTTGATGTTGTAGTTTAACCTAAATCTTATTCACTTCTGCACATAAGATATTCTTCGTACTTCTCCTTAAAATACTGATTATTCTTGCATCTAAATTTTCATTGTCATAGATCTTCACGTGTTTCTCGACCTCCAAATCTTAATTTTCCTTATAGAAATATTTTTGTAAAAGTCCATGTTATATTGCTTCATCTCTAAGAATATCAATTTTTTTTTAAATTTCTTTGTATAATTGCGAAAATGAAGAAAAGAGAATCGAGCCATACTTCATCCATCTTTTTTATTTTCATGCATCAATATAGTGAATTATCACCTAATATAAATTTATAAATCTTAAGTTACATCTTAAATATGGTAAGTTACAGTGCAAACCTTCTTCGATTAAAATAATAGGTCAAATTAGAAAGATAAAGTACAAAAGTCAAATTAAATAATCCTGCTAAGTAATAATCCGTATGGTTTAAACATTTAATATATATAATTTTAATATAGGGATTAAGAAGTATTTGTTATTTTACATCACTATTTAAATAAATGGAATAAAGCTAACTTCTCTTAATCATAACATAAAAAAATATGAATTTTTTTTAAACATAAAGAGAGTAGTTTATATATTCATCGAAACTATTATTATAAATGAAATGAAAAAAAAATTAAAAGAAATAAATATCTCTCTTTCTTAATTAAATGTACTCAATGATAATAAAATCATAAATAATGTTAGTGTAATATAATAAGTCCCAACGATATATTTTGTTTTAATCATTTGTCTTTTCTTATTTTATACCCTATAAAATAAGAAATTTTTTTGTCTCAGTAAAATATTTTTTGATAAAGTCATCCCTACAAAATATTTTAATTTGAAAATAGTCCTTAACCTAATTAGAACTTCTAATTAGATGAGATAGTACATTTATTTCATACTCAACATATTAGTCATGTATTTCTAATTACATCCGATGCAATTTCTAAACCCTAAATTTTGTACTTATTCATATTACATATATTTGGTTCTCAAATTTCTTACGAATATAATATAATCAAAAGTTGAGAATTAGAAATGCAATTTGATAAAAGACACAATTGTTGACATCAAAATTGTTTCTGAAGTAATTGCAAATCTAAAACCAAGCTATTGAGTACAAAATAAATATGTTATCTCAACAACTTAAAAGTCTAATATATTTTACGTGCTTTAACAATTTATTTTCTAATCTTTACATTTTTATAAAGTTTCATTGTAGTTTTAAAATAAATTTTTTTAATCTTCTCATATTTTAATAAATATAATCAAACTGACTGCTTTGGTTTAAATATGTCATAAAAATATGAAATTTATTTAGAAGCGAAGAAAAATCTTATTAATTGCTTAGGGCCAATTTGGTGAATTTTGGAGATATTATAAGATGTGGGTTATGAAAACTCATAGAAATGATATGGACTTTGTAATCTGAAATGATTTTATTTGGAGAGATTTAAATTCAGAATTTAATTAGTGGTAAGAAAAGGTGACTGGCAACGGGAGTGGTTGGCAGTGATAATGGTAGCGAGTGACGAAGAATGATCGATACTTGAGAGAGATATCAAACCCCCGTATTGATATCTCCCAAATTCGAGAGATACTCAGACCATCAATTTTAAAGATTTATGATATCTGCAGATATTAAATTTGATAACTCTTTTAGCTTCACCAAACACCAGAAAAGGATAAAGATATCTGGAGATTTCAAAATTCAAAACTCACCTNTCACCTTAATATAGCCCACATAAGCTTGTCTTTTGGCGACTTTTTAGCAAACAGAGTCTCAAATATTATATTAAAGGATTATATTTTTTATAACTAAAAAGAAATTTTTATACAATCCTTTTTTAATTATGAAACATTATAAAAGCTTAAGTGAGATTATAACAAAAAGCACCCTAGCTTGGATGGTTAGGAACTCAACTAAATGACCAAGAGATCCTTGTTTCAAACCCATGGTGGTATGCTTTTGGAAAAAAATTGCAAAAAAAGAACTGGTCAAACCGGTCAAACCGATCGGTTTGTCTAAAAAGGTGACGTATTAGCTCGCCACATGTCGCGCTTTAACTTTGCCAAATGTCACCACATCAGCTCGCCACATGTCGTGCTTTAGCTCTGCCAAATGTCATGTTCTTATAGCTCCGACTCTGCTTTATATATATAAAGGATAATGGCCATCGGTCTTATTACCGAGTACTTTTTTTAAAGGAGTATATATGAATATGTATGTGGACAGTGGACTAGAAGATTTCTTTCTCGTTTTAAAAATTCTAATAATATACTTTTTATTTATTATAATTATTGAACTCTAAAGTGAAATACACTATTAAAATATGAGTCCGTATTTGGAAGGCAAGGAGTAGTAAGGTAGGGTGTAGACAATTATAATCGTTGACCAACGCCATAGTAATTACAAAGATAAGGAGGAATGATTAATAATATTATTGTTATTGATGATCCTGGGTGTAATCATTGGTTTATATATATATATATATATATATATATATATATATATATATATATATATATATATATATATATATATATATATATATATATATATATATATATATA